ACACACACACACACATGCACACACTACACACACACACACACACACACACACACACACACCACCACACACTCACACACGCCATCACACACATGCATGCAGAGCCGAGCACAATCCCGATTGATACGTGGGCACCCGGGTCAGTGCCTGTGGTGCAGGTGCCCATGGAGGAAGTGGCTCGCTCCGCACTTGCCACGCCCATTGCCGATGCAAACTACGCCCCGTCGGAGGCCGGCGAGCGCGGTGCGATATCACCGCTGCCCGGGTCACTTGCCGCGTCGCCTGCGACGTCGCCCAAGCGCGGCGGCGGCGGCGGTGGCGGTCGCACACGCAGCCGTCGATCGAGGACCAGCGCCAGTAGCGGGATGACGGGTGTATCCGGGGGGCTTGCGAGCGCTGATGTCGTCGCCCGCGCACGCGACGCACACGCACGTGCAGCAGCACGCAAGGCGCAACAACAACAACAACAACAACAACAACAACAACAACAACAACAACAACAACAACAACAACAACAACAACAACAACAGGAGGAGGAAGCGGAGCAACAGCAACAGCAACAGCAGCAGCACGGGCGTGGTGATGGTGGTGATGGTGGTGGTGGCGAGCGGCGGCAACGTCCAAAGTCTGGGCGATCCAGGGCAGCTGGTGGTGGCGATGTGGACAGCTCGCGACGAGCGCGGGCAGCTGTATCCGCGCCACCGCGACCAGCACCGCTGCCCACACCGCACGAACACAACAGGCCAGACACAACGGCAGGGACCACAGAAGCAGTGAGTTAATGCATGTGTGCGTGCGTGTGCGTGCGTGCTTGTCTGTGCCTGTCACTGTGTCTGTGTCCGTGTCTGTGCCTCTGTGTATCTGTGGTTCTGGCCGTTTGTGTGTTGGTGTGGCTGCGTCTGCCTATCCGTGTTGGTGTCGTGTGCCAAAACCAGGCGGCACCCCTCACCTTTCCTCCCCACCACCACCACCACCACCACCACCACCACCACCATCGCTCGCTCGTTGGCTGTGCAGGGGCGCGCGGTGCCCAAGCCGCCGCCGCCTGTTGCTGCTGGCGGCGGCCGGGTGTCGTCGCGTGCGCGATTGCGGCGCCACGTCCAGCCCGCCACCCCCTTTGAAGGGAACCAGCACCCCGTCCTCCCAGGTATCGGCCAGAAGCAGCAGCAGCAGCAGCAGCAGCAGCAACAGCAACAGTCGGTGTCGACAAACTCATAGCGCTTGCAATGCGTGTGTGTGTGTGTGTGTGTGTGTGTGTATGTTTGTGTGTCCGTGTGTCTGTTTGTCTGTGTGTGGGGGGGGGGTTGCGTGTATCCGCCACTGTGTTTGTTGATCATCGTCGTTGTAACAGAAAGAGGGATGACTTGGTAGAGGCAACATGTGTTACCAGCCCTGCCTTGCTCCCCCTCCCAATTTCCTTCATCAATATTCCATGTCTGCTTGTCGTCATCTGACAACACACTGCTACGTTCATGTCGACCCGTCAAACCTGTACATATGCATCCTCAGAGTAAATAACGGTCACCGTGTGCATGTGCATACCTGTGTCAGCCAGAGACCGTGTGTGTGTGTGTGTGTGTGTGTGTGTGTGTGTGTGTGTGTGTGTGTGTGTGTGTGTGTGTGTGTGTGTGTGTGTGTGTG